TCTCTGCAGAATGCAGCAGAGAAGGTTGGTGCATAATTTAAAGGGCATGTAAACTTTCTTCGATGCTGCAAACAAAGAAGGTGAGAACCCCATTAACCTCATCAGTGATTAGACATCCCTAATCACAAGAAAATGAATACATCCTAATCAACAAAACCATTGAGAAAGTCAATTAATCAGTGAATTATTACAGGGTTGGTGTGTGGTTTTGTGTGTTTGTGCTTTTCTGGGGGCCTGGTGACACCTTTTGAGAGATGGAAAGGGATGTTGCTGCTAGAACATTGTCTGCAACAGAAAACCCTATGGCAGCTGACAGAGCATGGAGTGACTGAGCTGGGGGATGTAGCAATTTATTATCCATCTTTCTTGTGTTGCAGTCAGTCACACCGCACATGCACGTTTAAATGTGCATACACATACACACAGAGGAGTAAACACACGCAGGAACCACAGCCTCTTGCACATGAAGCTACAGTCAATCTTTGTCTCTCTCTCACACACACACACTGTGCAGTCACACACTTGACAAAAAACGCACGCCATAATGAAGCTCTTACACATTCCGCGCCGCGCAGAATCCCCTCATTGTGTTTCTATGATTAATGGTAACTAAAGAGCTTGAGTCTTGAAAAGAATGAATGCGAGCTCACGACTTATTAATCAAACGGTGATACTTAAAACAAATAACGCTCCCACTGCATCTCTGCCAGGAGAAATGGAGTGTAATCCCTCTTCTCCCCCTCACTTTCCCGCATAAAAATATAAACATTTCTTGAGTCTAGCACACAGGTATTTTCACCTCTGTGTGTGTCTGTTTCCACCTATACCTCTTTTTGTTGCTCTGTGACACACAAGTGCAATGAGTGTCTCTGAAGTGTCTGTGTGCACATGACACCATCAGTCCTGGCATCATTGGCAAATTAATGAGAGTGCCGTATTTAGCTCTGCCCTGGCTCCCTGTCTGACCTACTGTCACACACTCGTTCTCCTCTTAAAACTTGTCTTATTTCTTGTGTCAGTTCTTGCCAACACGAACCTTCAAACTTTTTCTGAAGTCTAGTTAAATGCAACAGGCCTTTTTTTCCACCACATTTACATCTTTGGTCCACTGAGGAAAATCAGTTTGTTTGTACTCAACTAAAATGTTTGGCCTGAACATTGGCCCTCTGTCTACGGCTTCGGCCACATGAACACAAACTGGATGACGACTGCTAGCAGTCATCATTTCAGAGACTCACTCGCCATAACTTCAAACTATCATCTCTGCTTTACTGGTGTAGTGTCTCTCCGGCTTGTGAATACTCCGGTCATACGCAGTGAGAGCACGAGCAGGCAGGCAGGTCGGTCGGAGACAGACAGGTTTGCCAGCGAATTATTTCATTTGGTCCGAACTAAATGATTGGTTGTGTTTATTACAACTTTAGTTATTGATGGTTGTTGAAACATATAGAGGATTTCAACACATACAACAAAAAGTATTTCCAACTTTCCAACCCGGCTCGAAATAAATACTCTCTGAAGCAAACCTAACCAACCCCATGCATCCCCTCTCAATGAGCCTGTTTTCCATCAGGCCTCTTGAGTTGTGACCCAGAAAGTGTGACTGCTACTGGGACCCACTCGTGAGCCCTGACCCTCTGTGTGGGGAACACTGGTCCACAGCACATCTGTATTCAGCCCCGGTTCTGTGCTCATATTGTCAATGGCCGGTGCTCAGACTCGTGAAGATGGATGAAGCTAGAGCCCAGCCTAATAACCAGTCTATCCCCCCAGGGTGGGTGTAGCACTGCACTCCTCTGTCACCTGGGTCCCCACACTGTCTCCATGTTGACTTAGTCATTTCATTTTCATGCATTCATATTCATCACCTGGCAAACCTTCCCAGCTTCCATGCTCTCTGTCTTTTTCTCTTTATCCATCTGTTTCTGCCGTTCTCGTTCTGTATCATTATAATCATCCAGCTCTTTCTAATGTATATGCCTGCTTGTCACCAACCATACCGCTCATATGCACTCCACCAACACAAATCTAAATAATGAATGTGGGTCTCAGTGAATGCTGCACTTTGCTTTTTCATCAGAAAACATCAACCATGTGTGCTGCAGACCCCCTCTATTGTTCTTGGTGTTGTTTTTAGTGTCCAGAATGAGCCACACACACCATTTTGTATTTCCTGGCTGAAAAACAGAACTGGGATTTTTTTCCCAGCAAACAAACAGAAATCAGGAAACAGGAGACAGAGAGGAGAAATGTAAAGGTCATGGCACATTGGTCATGGCGAGGCAGACGCCGGCTGGATGTTTACAGGTCAAAAGCGCAATTCCTTTCACGATGAGCTCACAGAATGAGAATAAAAGATAAAAAACACTTAATCAAACACAAGCTGGAGAATACCCCCACTTGAAGAGTTTTTATGTTGCTCTGAATCTGAAGTGGAGAAATGGTGGAATGCAGGAAGGATAATAGAACTGGGAGGCTGCTCCTGCTGGCTTAACCACGCAGAAAGAAATCAGGCCACAGAGAGAATGAGGGGCTCTCCACAATGTGTTTGGGCTCAGTATTGGTATTGGGCTGAAGCTCTTGAGCTAAAGTAGGCAAGTGCTTGTGTGGCTTTGTGTGGAACACTATCGGAGTGCTGTGTGGGTGCGCGACCGCACATTTGTGTTATTGTATGCATGCATTTGTCTGTGGGTGCATTGTGAGGCAGGATGTGCTACAGCAGCAGCAGCAGCAGCAGTAGCATTGTTCCTACCTCCCCCTCATACTCTTCCTTCCTTCCTTCCCCCCCAGGGTGTGGACAGCAAACAGGGACAGATTGCTCTGTGCCGCTCCTGTATTTGGAGATGACCTGTGGAGTCATAGGTGATGATGACTGAGCCGAGTGACAAATCAGACCAGGTGTCTATGAGAGGCCTACAAACCAGCCAGCACCAGAGGCCATGCTGCGCTGTGCCGTGTCACACCAGAGCGCCACTCCTCGCCACACCATTAAAAATGACAAATGCTCTCATCAACTTCTTTCCCAAGTTAGCCACCGCTGCCTGATGCTCCTGCAGCTCTGCGTCTGCCCCAGTTCATCTCCTGGCCTTTGCTACACGAGGAACAACCATTTATTAAGCAAGTCACATTTCATTTACGATGTGTTTGATTTTTGTCTTTGTAAAGGTTAGGAGTTGAATCACAAAGGGGAGGAAAAGATAGATGTAGTTAAAACTGTTCAGGCTTGCTGGGGGAAAAAGCTGCACATATTAAAGAGTGACAAGTGGCCTCTTTAGGGTCTAAACAAACAGCAAGAAGATACAGGAATTAATTTCATAAGCTACATAGTATTTTGAAAAGCCTACTTTTCATTCCATTCATTAGGTCCATAAAAAGTAAAGCAGGTAAAAAGTATCTGGGCCAGTGTGCTGAGGAGAGACAGCGCTGAAGTATTAGGCCATCCAGTGGCCCCGGGTAAAACCAGCCCCACTCAGGCTGGAGATTAACAACCCCATCCCAGTCCAGCGCTCCAGGGACTTGGGGACATATCTAGCCCAACGCAGGTGTGGTTCTGGGCTAGAGGGCAGCAACTGCCCTCTTCCTCTGCTGAGGCAAAGCCTGGTTCTCTGTGTCCCTGCGGGGAAAAGCCCATTGTGTGCGCCATCTGTTGCAGCACACGCGCAGACAAAAGGGGCGACAGGGGCAAAGGGTTGGAGCTGATGTGCAATGCCTGTTTAATATCATTAGGAGGTGCGGTTAGAATTTGCCAGTGCCATTAAAGAACATCTGCATTGTAATTGTGTGAGCATAATGAAAGGGTGAGGGCGCCAGACCATGTTTAAGGCTGCTAGGGACATTTTTAAAAAATGGATGGTATCCACATGGGTTGGAGGGAGGGTGGAGCATTGACACACTTATGCAGTTTTCAGACATTAACTCTGGAAACTGACAGTGAACTGGGGTCCGGAGTCTCTCCAGAGTTTCACATATGAAGAACATAGCAGGAGATTTTCTGCTCAGACGCATTCGTAACAACACAGAAATCTATTAGTGTTAAAGTAAAGGGTGGAGCTGCATGCAGAGGCAGGACGTTACGTATGTATACTCCAATGTGGAGAGCAGGTTTCTGTTTACATTGACAGCAGCGTTGGACCTTATCAACAAAAGCGCTCTTGATGTCTGTCTGTGTCTTCAACATGCACTGCACCATTTCATCCTTTTTGTTTTTGAAGTTTTGTATTAGTCGCGTTTTAGAAACGTCATCCCACTCGGCTGCGGTGAATCCTGCAGAGGAAATCCTGCTGTATTCTCTCATGAGATCACTTGGACATTACTGGGAGTTTTTACAAGGGGGCAGGGTGGAGAAACTCCAGAGAAAGTCGGGAGCTTCTCGATTTGACAGTTCAGCTGCTTTCAGACATGCACTGATGAAGACAGTCACGTGTGAATGCAAATGTCCAACTTGCTAAATAATGAAAATAAATTGAAATAGTGGGACAAATAGCTTTTAATCTTAATTGGGCTAAAACATTCTTGTGATTTTCATAAATGAAACATGTAATACCCTAAGTGGAGATGATTAAGGACACACTCTCCACCAGGGGAAGTGAGAATTGCCATATGGGACATGACAGAGCAGCAGCATTATGTTTGAACCACGGGCACTGAACAAAGCCGTTTATATCGTCTCCCGGGCGGGTTGAGGCTTGGCTCTCAGAGGTTTACCACATGGGGAGCAGTACCCAAGGTATCCCGGCTGGTGGCGCTATTTCCCTTCAGTGCAGCGGACGCCGCTTCAAATAGGTCAAGGAAAAGTTTTGTGTTTTGACAATGCGTGCTGGGCGGAGCGGCGGGGCTGTGGATTGGTTGGTGAGTTTCTGCCGCCGGTCGATGATTGGCCCCGGCGCTCTAATGGGGGCTGTGAGCATGCGATGCTGGGTCCCCCCCCCCCACCAACACCCCCACCCCCCTCAGTCAGTCCCCCCCACACTCTGCTCCTCTGATTGTCACACAGTGTTTACTACGGCTTGAAATGTGACTCACAACACAGGCTATCTGCTGGAGTACCGCGCTGACACACCGAGGGATCCTGGTTTTTTGACGCGCGCCGTGCGTCTTGGCTATTTTTTTGGGGGGGGACACGCTGTTGGAGACTATGCCCTTCTCCGCCGTGACAGTGGATTTGTGTGCGCTTTTATGCGCGCTGGTCATCACGTCCTCCGCGATGGAAGGTAAATAAGATAAAAAAGAAACAAACTGGGATTATACTTGATGTGTGAGATGATGCGGGAGTTCTTCTGTCCAGTCTGCACCCTGGAGATGCTTGGTAATGTTTGTGCGTGGGGGCAACTGCTTGAGCCTCTGGCACTGGGATGCGGGGATGTGGCACACGCGGATCAGCGTGGATCACCGTGGTTATCCCTTTTCTCTCCGGCGCGGCAGTCCTCCCGCTCCGCTGCGTGCCACTGATGTTGGTGCTTGTCCACGTGAAGCGTGATTCTCTGATGTTGAAACGCGCTTTTAAATGCGCACAGTACTTTATTACGGGTCATGTATGGGCTTCAATACCTCGTTCCCCCGCTGTGTAGCACTCCTCCTTTTAAACAACAGTAGTGCCACCTATATAAACTATTTTAGATTGCTGTTATCTTATGAACAATTACGTTTTCCCCAGAGGTAAATGCGTAATTATAAGTGCCTGTCAAAGGATTCCGGTCAGGTTTTTTTTCATTAAATTGCACATTTGAAATAATATTATCACATAAGCCCCCTGAGCCTCACTCTCTGGCATTTTCAATTGCAGGACAAACTCTCTTAGATTGTGACTGGAAGTCTCTCTGTCACCTGGATGTGTTCTGGGGTGAATATATAATTTTAACTATTAGAATCAGCAACTTAAAAAAAAAAGACCACCTTTTTTTTTTAGAATATCTCTATTTTTCCTCCTCCTCATCCATCCCATCCCCTTTTTTATCCCTTTGTCTTTCTCTGCTGTATCTGTCCCACTTCCTCCTCTCTTTCTCCCACACACTCATCTGGACAAGCGGCAGTGCCACTAGCAGCTAATATCTCCTCGGTTAAACATGTTTTTCATTTCCGCTGTGGGCCCCCAGGGACCAAACACTGGACTCTATAACCTCAGACATAAGCTGCTGGATGGATATCCGCAGCATCATGGATACATAGTGTCTTCTCTCATGTTATTGTACAGTCGCTCATCCCCTCCAATAAAATTACACACGTAGTACACCAGCTTCCCCCCCCGTCTGTCTGTAAAAAGCACAAACACATAGATTAGAAGCACAAATAAAATTAGTTTTCTCACATGCAGCTTTTTCTCTTTAATCATTTACAACTCGGCTCCTGGACTCTTCCCAGCTCCAGGCTGTGCCTCTGTAATTCGGTGGCGGTTTTCTTGTTTGTGCTCATCAGATTTCCGCACATGCAGCTATGGATAACCAAGCCCAGGCCCAAATTGCTACCTCTGCAAGGATTGGATATTTTCAGGTTCAAATGTTTACCCAATGTGATATGACAGCAGAAATGTCAATTCGGAGAGATGAGTGGAGGAGGAGACTGGGGAATGAAATTTCCCCTGCTAGGAGAGTGATGTGGGGTCTCTACTTAAAAAAAAAATGGGATGAGAAAGAAACAGATGGGCAGGGAGTTGGCCCAAGGGTTACCTCGGTAACGAGGATGAAAGTGATTTCCTTGTTTGGGTCACTAATTGAAAGGAGGCTGTCCCATGGGCAGGTTAAAATCTGCAGTGATTTGAACTCCAATCTGTTGCTCTTTCATTTTATTTGTCGTGTGTGCGTGTGTGTGTGTAAAAGGGAGAAGGGGATCCAACTTCATCCCTGCCTCTCCCGTCACCCTTAATGTGATTACATGTCTAAATCTTTATAAACTGTCGGTGATCTGTGTGTGAATTGGTCTGTGTTTGTATCTTTAGAGGAAAGACTAGTCCTGACCATATGGACCGGAGTCTGTGAAGAATTGAATTATTTATTTGACCTCCCTGAACGTGCATATACACTCACAGTAAACACAGTACTGAGCTGATGAACTTGGGAAAGAGAATCACAAGGCAGCGAGCATGAACAAATGGACGGATAGTTGGACAAAAAGAAAGAGTTTGAGAGTTGAGGCTTGAGTGTGATGTGTTGTGTGTTTGTGTGTTTGTGTGTTACGGTGTACAGCTTGTGTGTCTCAGGATGTGAATTTGATTATGGAACCTTGAATTTGCTGGATATAAAAGTCTAAGCTACCCAGCACACACATGCACGCAGGCACACGCGTGCAACCCCTCACACACGAAGACATGATATCTGCAAACAGGTATTAATTCACTGGCGAGTTATTGAAGGGGGGCGGAGAGGCGGAGGGGTGGAGGGGCAGTCAGGCCCGAAGCAAAGGGCCAAAACGAAGGGGAGAGCAAAGACTGGGATTTGCATGCCATTAGAAAACGAAGCATGTGCAGCGCTCTGTTTCACCCTCATTTGTCTTCCCTCTGCATTTCTCCCCATCATCTTCACCTTTTCTCTGACTTCTATCCTCCCCCCCCCCACCTTATTTCTCCATCCCACTCTGTCTTCCATAATTCTCTTCACTAATCTCTCCATCCCTCCCCTCATCTCTCCCTCCTCACTTCTTCATGCTCTCTCTATTTCTCGGTGGTGTGCCGATGGTTCTTGCCAACAGCAGCAGTAATTCTCCCCCTACTTACAGAGCCATTGCTTATTTCTGTTTGCCCTTAAACCAATTAGGCTTAGATAAGCCCGCTCATTTAACGGCCTGGAACCGGGTGGTGGAGGAAGGGAGGGCGGGAGGAGGAGGACGAGCGGAGGGATGAAACAGAGGTTGAAAGATAGATGGAGACCGCGGGAGATGAAAAGATGAGGCAAACAGAAGGAGGGAGGTCAGCGTTTCTGAAAAGATACAGTATGCGTGTTTTACAAATGAGTAGCCCGCGATTGAACAAGGCTGTGGACGTAAACGAACACTGGGCTGTGGCGCTCGTCTGGCACAAAGTACAGATGCCTGAGACGTGCCACAACCCGAGGTGAAACAGCAGCAGCAGCCAGTCAGGGAGCGGGTGGCTGGAACACGGTAGCTTGAATAAACAATACTGATGATATTTTAAGCAACAGATAATAGTCAGAGATCAGAACCAGTGCTGACGTAGAAGAAAAGGATGAAGAAGAAGAAAGTTTGGAGGACAAAGCAAGTTCCAGTCGCTTCAGCAGCTGACTGCTTTGCGTAAGTGTTCTTGAGCAGGACATTGACTCATCTCCCAAGGCATTGTGTGATAGCCGACCCATGCACTGCTATGACCTCGGTGCTGAGAGAAGTCAGCGTATATTATTATTATTATTCTCTCATGCTGCATTAGTCATGATTTGCAAAGGCCTCATGAGACTTAACCTTGAGACAAGTGTTTGATCTCGTAGGATGTACAGTCCTGATCGTTCTCTGCTTGATATTAACGGATTCTTTTTGCATCTAACTGGAAAAAGGATCACTCAGTGGGCCGTGCTTATATACAGTTTCTTCTAATCAGTGTTGTAAATATTGTTATTTTGTTGATGATTTAGGTTACAAGCTAAATCTATTGCACTTCTGATCCTTCACATGTGGCTCTATTTGAGGTACCTTTGTTTTTCCCCCGTTAATAGGGTATTTTGGTGGTTTAGTTTTCCTAACTCTTGATAAGGATGTTTTACATTGTTAAGCCCAATGAGACAAATTGTGATTTCTAAATATGGGCTATACAATTAGATTGATTATAGACCAATTATACCAATCGGGCAAAAATCGTTCACAAGCAAAAAAAGGGCCATGCATTTACAAGTTCGTCCAGTATTTCTGATCAGGCTCAAATGATTGTGAAATGTTGTTTTCGGGGCTTAAAAGTCTGACACCAAAAGTAGTGAGGTGGACTGGCTTCTGGAGGCTATAGTGTAGTCTAGAAACAAACTGGTGTGACTAATACAACGAACATTTTACAGGAAAAGACGTGTCAGCCAAAGATCTGCAGGATGCTCACCGTGATTGTTAACATTAGATTTTGCTGCTGGCTGCCTCACTCGTGTGGTGCACTTAGAAGTGATACCTCCAGATGCTGTCACCTCCGTCAGAGAAAGTTTGCAGATTGCCTCAATAATTTTATTAAGTTCCAGTCTGGCATTCATTCTAAATCCACAATATTGCAGAAAAAGGGCTTTCGCCTTTTGTTTTGACACCAAATCATCCACTTCAACAATCCTCTTGTCATGTGGTAAGACTCCACAAGTCTGTGATGTAACTGTGCCACACACAGCTGACACTTCCAGCTGTATACAATTGTATTTTACATCCAAGTATTTACAAGAAGTATTTGCAATTTTTAATTTGAATTTGGGCACTATTGCAGATATACAAAAAGGGATCCAAATCAGTTTAATGTCTGTCTGAAACCTTGAAGCACAACTCACACTGACTACCGCTGCAAACCTAGTACCGAGTTAAGATCTCTGTGCTGCCTGATGTGTGAGTTGGGGGCGTGCGTGTGCCACCAGCTGTGCAGAGGAGACAGCCTGTAAAAAAAGTCCTGTTGAGTCTCTAATGGATGTAAATGCAAAATTGCTCCTTTCCTCTGCTCTCTCATTTGAAATGGTTGGAAAAGAGACGAATGAAAATATAGGAGCAACATTGGCACAAGGGTTCTGGGCGGCAGGGGCTGAAAAGACGTGAAGGATTGAGTGCGAGTGCTCACATGAGTGTACAAGTGTATTTTGTCTACGGGCACCACTGCTGACCTGGGACCACCTGAAGTAGAATTCAATTTTCCACTAGTTTTGTACCACCGTTCTGTGTATTGTACGTTTGGATGCCTGTGTCGTCAGCAGACTGCCAAAGCCATTATGGCTGGCAGGGGTAGCAGACACTGCCTCCGCCTATAATGGAGGCTTTATTTTGCCCACAGTGAAAAGACTCCTTGGTGTTAAGGTGTGCTTACACAGCCTAGTCAGCTATGACGACCCCTAGTGCAAAGCCCTGCCTGCAGCTCATGTACCTGTGGTGCTGTAAATGTGTTCTGCTGCTTTTCCTCTGAAAGTGTTGTGCTTGTATGCAGCCAGTGTGGTTAGACTCTGTGGGCCATGCACTGTTCTTCACAACATGGTTTTTCACATACTGCAGTGGACTGTATACTGCATAACTTCTCTTTGATAATATGATCACTAGCTTCTTT